AAAAAAAAAACAGGTGTGACTTAATTTTATGTTATTTTTGGGATTCATTAATGAACAGAAAATTCAAAAGAACAGTATTTATTTAAAACAGAAATGTCATTACTGTCATTTTTGATCAATGCATCCTCGCTGAAAATAAATTCTTTCAAACAACTTTTCCATGACCTTTATTCCAGGCTTTTGAAATCCTCTGGACTGTAGGAATGCTGGTCAACGCAACAATTAGTATTCACATGAGAAAAGAGGATTGTTTTTCAGTTTAAATAATTTTTTAAAATAACCAGTTATCCAGTAACTCATCTCTAGACAAAATGCAGACAGACAGACTGTAACTGTTCTGAAGCTTTGAACAGACAGTCTAACTGATACTTCCAGACAATAATCAGGCATTAATCGTACAGTTATTCTAACAACAAATAGCTCAGAGCAATCATGTAAATCCTATTAAAGTGGTGAATCCTCTTGTAGAGGCAGTTTTCAAGATTACCAGACAGTGGCAGCATTGGCTGATATGCAGGGGGAGGGGCTGACACGGTTAAAGATGACCTCAGGCTTCACTGCTAGACACATATAATCCATCCTTGCCTCGCGAAAGTACAAGGCGTTTTCATTGGCTCCCAGCCACAAGATTTGGAATAATCCAAATGCATCTCCTGTAATGCACAACATCATGACCTGGCATAATGAAACTGTGTGCATGTTGATTTCATGCACTAGGTTTCCTCTTACAGATAGCTGTCAGATGTAAAGGGTGTGTTCACAACCTCAAAGTCAGCAATTACGTGTGCTGCAGCTTGTCAAGGTATCCATGGAAACAAAAGCAAAAATAAATATGGGAGGCTAGGGGCGGGAAATAATAAAAAATAATGCAAATAAAATAAATTGGTGGAAAAAGACACAAGCAAAAAAAGTGGAAAAAGCAAAAGGGTGGAGGTGTGTCGTCATGTAAATGACACATGCTGTACAGGGAAATTTACATCACAATTAAACACAACAAGGCCCTAATAATCCCCCTTTTTATCAAAGCATTCTAATCTAAGCATTCTTGCCCATCCGACTAAAGACGCACACATTCAGTACCCACTGCACGCTCTGAGAGGATCGACAAAACAGCTATTTGCTTGGCATTAGACTCCCCTCCATCATGCTTATAAATGGGGCCACCTTCTGCAAACTCTGACCCTTTGATTACATAAGACACCATCCTAGAGGAACAGGAAGCTGCATTACTCAAACCCTCTTTATGTCCCACAATGCCATTCACTTCCACAGTAACCATGTTACACAATCTGGGCTCACATCTCTGCAGGATAAAATGCAAAGCAAGATGTTTTCTCTTTTTTTAACTTATCTTAAAACATTGTTATGCTATTTCAGCATAATTTACATACTAATATAAGTTTTTATATTTGGAATTGATTTTTATATTTTATATGTTATTTTGAATTGAACTTTTATTTTTGTATTTTCTGTTTTCATTTTGTCATTTCTAGTAACTGTTTAAATATTTTTTATTGTTATTTCATAAAATATATTGTTTTTGTTCATTTTCATCTCTGTTTTAGTTATTTCAGTATATTATCAAACTGAGAAATGAATGAGAAATGTTGCTTTGGCAACTAAATGAAAATAAGTTTAAGTATATTTATTTTATTTCAGTCAACGTTTATATGATTTTAAGTAATGACAATGTTTATTTTTATGGTTTTAGTTTTAGTTAACTATAATAACCCTGGCTTGAAACAACACTGACATAACTACATATGTCATCAACTGCTGGGAAAACAGCACTGCTTTCTCAGATGTATCTTAGACTATAAAGTTGAGGATGATCAAGTCTACGTGTACAAAACAAATACTGCATCAAGTAAATCATAAAACAATAAACAAACAAAATTGTTTGGCGTTTGTGTCTGAGGCTTAAACGAAAGAATTCAAAGCTTATCTCAACGTTCAAACTAATCACAGATGCTAAGACGGATGATAAACACAAAGACTGCTTTGCACCTGCAACACATCAACAGCCATAAGGGCAGGAAGACTCCACATACCAGAAAACACTGGACCAAGAATGTCCCACACCCCAATCCAGCAGCTCAGAGCAGAATCACACGAGAGCTTGAGCTCACCAGCACACTCAGACTGCTGCACTGACAAGAGAATCATTGCTAAGATATTAGGGGAATGCAAAAAAAGGAAGTGATTTTGGACAACTGGACTACGGTGACATTCTGATGTGAAAGTTTTGGAAGTCTGCAATTCACTCACTGAATACATTTTACAATAACTTTAAAATTTAATTCTGCGAATAGAAACTTTTCATTCATTTTCACATTTTATTTTAATCATGACAGCCATAATCGATTGTTTCATTATGCAGGGGCAATTTTTACCCCTTTATCTTGAATTTGTGTGGCATTTTTGATTTGCCCCCATTAATTTCCAACCCTGGTAAGTATACTTATAATGTAATAAAATATTTCTATTTCATCGAACCCTGAGAAAAAAAAAAAAAGTTTAATGGTTTTCACAAAAATATTGATAAGAAATTTTCTTGAGCTCCAAATCAGGTTTGGCATCACAGGAATAAATGACATTTTAAAACATTAAAATAGAAAAAAACTTGTTTTAATAAGAATAATAATGGTTATAAAAATGGTAATACTATTTTACAATATTACCATTTTACTGTATTTTGGATCGAATAATTGCAGCCTTTGTGAACATTAGATAATTCTTTCAGAAAAAATCTTACCAAACCCAAATATCTGAATGGTAGTGTATATAATATTTTACAAAACTGAAATCCTATTCAAATCTTTTCCAACATTTACAGGGGAAAAAATAATAATTCCCTTTCAAGGGAACTTCGAACTGTGTCCTCTAGGGGTCGCTATGGGGAACGCCTCGTCGTGACCCGTGTCTGAAGCATACATTGAAAAAACACCAACAACACGTTGGCCGGCGACAGCCCATGACATCACTACCGGTGCGATTATAGTATAAATAGGCGCCGGGAGAACATGTCATTCTCTTCTTCGTCTTCACTGACCGTTTTGTTTGAAGCATTTCCGTGGTAAGAGCGATCTATATTCCTATCGTTATGGCGAGCACTAGCAAAGCGTTTAGAGGGTGTGTGCATCCGCGTCGTCGTTATTTGACACCTGATGACACACACGATCTCTGCGTTGTTTGTTTGGGCAAAGAGCACGCATGCGATGTCCTTGAGGGGGCAATCCGCGTTCATTGTGAGTGTATTTTAATGAAAAGCTCCGCTCTCGTTTGTCTCTCTTTTCGAGGAAAGGGGGGCAGCCATCTGCTTCCCGCGGCTCAGGACCCACCGCTGCTGAGGCACGGAGGAGGATGGGCTCGTGGGGATCGCAGGTGGATCCGGCTGATGAGTTTAAAAAGGGGTTTTCCCCCTCGCGCTCGTCGGCTGTGGACGAGAGTAAGCTGCTGGAGGATGATGTTATTTCTTTAACATCGTTTGATCCGGGGGCTGGTGCTCTGCTGGGTTCGGCCCGGTAAGAGCAGGAGATGTCTGAGGACGGCGAAGAAGCTGAGGCTGAGCCTTCCCAATCCTCCTGCTCTGCGTATGGTGAGTTTTGAGCGTTATCTTTCTTACGCATTCATCTTTTAACATACTGTACATTAAATAATTAAGACTAACAGGTTTAGTAAAATATAAAGAGTATATGGTGTAATATTTTGCAAAATGATCCTCTCTAGACTTCATTTCTCTAGTGAACTAACGAGCTGTGGACACTGATGACTTGCTGAGGTAAATTAAATGCTACGTCACATTTTATTTCCACGCTGTATTGTTGATGTCTTTCCGCGGTTGAAACACTGATTGAGCAATTACATGAGGCATGAGATGTTCAGTCATGTTTATTCGCGTTAAAACTAGTAGTACAGAGGAAGGAATGACCGCGTTCACTCGCGCTCCGCTCTGCA